AAGTCACTGGAATAAAGGCCCCTCAGAAAAAAAATGTGTCAATTTTAAAGGTCTTTCCTAACTGAAGACCATTTTGTGATAGAGCCAAAGGTTAATAAAATCAGTAGTGAATGTAGCAATTTTACAGATAAGCTATTCACAACAAGTGCAGTTACTTGAATAAGAAGCTAATTCAGTTCTAAAATGCCACATGCAGTAGCGGTGAATAGCTGCTTTTAGGTGCTTTCCAGAGGAGGGCAAAATACAGAATCGCAGCACTCTTCTCTCCCCGCGTCCCCGGCCGCCTGTAAATTGCTGTGAATGGGGCTGTGGGCTGACAGGCTCTATTAAGACAAACTGCCTTTCTCATCGGAGAGATAAAATAAATCAGGTGTTTAGTCAAATTAAAATACTTCAGCTGGAGCAGGCCCTGGGGAGCACTGATCCACCTTACTAATCCGAGAGAAACTCAAGACAGATGTGGTTTGGGGATAAAGATGACCCCATGGAAGAAAAAGGAAAGAAAGGAAAGAGAAGGAAAGAAAAAACCTCCCAGCAGCTCACAGCTTTGCCTCTGCAGTTGGAGAATAGATACAGTTTATGGTGGAGTGTCAGGCGCACCCTGTGTGACATACAATAAAAGCAGGCGCACTGACTTGGAGAAAAGCTGTGTACAGAAGCTTTTTTGCTGGCTCTTTTTGTAGTTTATGAAACCACCTTTGGTTTTGTGTGGGAGGCAGAAGATGCTATTTTCTGGCAATGGGTCTGAGAGAGTCATTTTAAGATAGTCTAAAGATATGAAATAGATGATGTTAGGCAAACTAATGACCTCTGCTGGCCCACTGAGATGGGGTACATCCTCAGGCTCTGATCTTTCCTATTTTAGTTCTTATCTATCTATCTATCTATCTATCTATCTATCTATCTATCTATCTATCTATCTATTTAATCAATCTAAGTTGATTTTGTCAAATCTCAAAATATAATTTAGGGTAAGATTTTCCCCACACATTCTTAGGTTAATTGAAGAGGCATCTTATCATCTTTTGCCTTCCCTAGCATAGCCAGACTATATTTCAGAGTCCTGTGTGGACCTTTGGCTGCCTCTTCTTTCAGCCGCTTTGGGCATTGTGACTTCTCTGTAATGGTGAAATCTCAAGTCAACTAAATGTGTTTGGAAATGAAATAACTTGTGTTCTCAGTTTGGTTTGATCACTATCATTTGTACTTGATACTATTTTTTATTACAGCAGGGTAGGTAAACATTTCATCAATTAAAACAGAAAAAATCTGAGTATATGTACAAATACTGATCTTTAAATTAATTGTGCCAAACTTATACAATGTGTATGGAACAGAAAGATTACCCCCCTAACCTATGCATTCAGAGAACATAAGTTGTTATGTTATTTGAATGTATTACTCTCTGATCAGAACTCAAGAGTTCTGATGGCTATACATAGGATTTCTCATTTTAAGTGAATTTTAGATTTGCTATGCTGCTGCATTTCACCCAGTGCCATTATTGTGACTCATAGCTATACAAACACCTATCTCTCTATTATCTGTCATCTAGCTATCACCTATTACCCATCATTTATATCTGTCCAGCTATCATTTATCATCAAGCTACATATATCACCTACTATCTATGTCTATTTAGCTATGTATCATTAATTACCCTCTGCCACATTTATATCTATCAATTACCTATCAATTATCTATCATCTGTCTATCTATAATCTATCTTTTCTATCATTTATATCAATCATCTATAAATTATCTATCAACTGATCTCTTGATAAATTTTACTAAAGTTTTAAAGAAAAAATATTGACAGTATTACATGAGTACCCAAATCCTTAACATACAAATACTGCTGCCTCATTGTTTTACTTTCCTTAAACACATGGCTAAGTCCAGTGGAAGAGTTTCTAGATCACACTTAATGCTTGCAATCAAACAGTTTCACTGTCTTCATACTCTGTAAAGTGAGTCATCTAACTGGTGTTATTCTCTAACCTCAGGTCTACATAATGAAGTCACCCAAACATTTATAGACAGCACTGTTGGCTCCACCTTGAAAAAGAAGCTGTCATTGACATACTGCCCAAAGAGAAATAAATGAAGGATTGTTGAAAAGGCTTTAAAAATGGAGAAGGGAAAAATTTGTCTTCACTGAAAAACATAAAGATCAATCCAACTTATGTGCCTTTGGTCCTTACCCAAAGCACTCTGAGGGTGCTTTATTAACTAACAACACTGGCAGGGCCGCTGTCCCGGTTTTCAGAAAGCCTTTAACTCACCTCATATAGCCAAGTGTAAAAGAAAATTACAGTGAATCAAGAATAGGACACAAACATAGGCAATAAAATGTGCACACTCTCCACTGGATTTCAGAACTTTCCAGCCTGTTCTCCACATAACAGCTACAGCACTGCCCTTGTGTAAACAATTCTACAATGTTGCCTTACTCTTAGAAAGGAGGGAAAACTCACCAAATACGGTCTACATGGGCCGAATGGGGTGACATTTTCCTCCTCCTTTTAGCCTCATCTGGTACCCTTCTTTCTTTTATTTTCCTTGTTCATATTTAATCACCTTTATTTAATCGCTGAAAGACACCAAAGCCCATATCCCCCCAGCATGCAAACGCAGAACAAAGCCTATATTGGTTTTTTTTTTTCCTTCTTGAAAGCTCTTGACCACCCACTACTCACAACCTTTCCCTTAGCTGTAGTCCCCTTGCGATGGTAATGTTTCATATTTTCTGGAAAGTTCTTTGATCAAAAGGTATTTACTCTCTTTACCTACTTAATTCATGTCCTTCTCGTTAGATTGTTGTTTTTCTAGGCTTTCTTCCTTGAACGTGGGTCCAAACTTGAGTCAACCCCCCTTAAAATGCTTGATTTGCTTGCAATTTGTCAATAGTACTTTACATTCATATAGTGATTATTTGATATAGTACCTGGCACATTGTTCCCATTCAAAAAAATATTTACTAAATTTAAAAATAAGTAAATAAGTAAATAAATAAATAAATAAATAAATAAGTTCCTTAGTTTTCTTGTATCTTCTCATTCCTGCATATCTTAATGAAACTATACTTGGAGCTTCCTGTGGTTTTAAAAATACTTTTTGATCTCCTTTGGCAACCTACGTTTATATTTTTATTATCTAATATTTCTGGGTAAAGAAGTTCTTTTTCAACCTAACCTAAAATTCTACTGGTGAAATAAAATCTATTTTTCTTCTTTAATGATTTCCAAGTGCCATTCTTCATTTGTTGTGTACTTCCATAATCAGGATGTCTACTTTCTTGTACCTAACTCTTGTCTTTTAATTTTGATTATAGATGCTCTTTCAGATCAGTATTTTTTTTCAAGGACACAGTTTTTGTTTGTTTGTTTTTAATCTGAGTTGGTATTAAAATCCAAAGGTATTCCTACCTGGGTTGCTTTTCTGCCAGCATCTGTCTGTCTTTGAAGAAATCTTATGCCAGCAAGAGCTAGCCAGCATCCTCTGAGGACACCTTTTTTTTTTTCCTCCTTGGGACCACTTAGAAAGTAGGGACATACACAATTAAGGTAGTTTTAGCTTGTTGGGTTGTCCCTTGCTTTCTTAGCAGGCATGAGGAGCAGGGAGGGCTTCACAGGGCTTAAAGTCTCCCTTCCACGTTCACAAAAATCTGTACTCTTCATCCCTTTTGACAGCTGCTGGCATCTTCCTGAAAAGCTTTCAAAGCATAGGTTTCTTCTTTATAATGAAACCAGTGAAGCTCCAGTACAGTGACCAGACTCCTTATCTTATGCTGCGGTAAAATGCTCTAATTTAGATTCACAAAAGAATTCTGTCCCCTTTACTTAAGAGACTGTGCAATTTGCCCATAAAAGACTGTGCAGTGCCATTAGCGCATACCGTAAGTGCTCAGCATCTTTGCGTTCATTAAACGGCACATCCTTATGCATAACCTTTGCAGCCTCTGAGCCTGTTTCTCACTTTGAAGAGTGACAAATGGCAAAGGGGGTGAGGGAGCCCTCAAGCAACATTGTTGCCTTTGAGGACAAACGTGGAATCCTTAGCTTGATCCCTAGGAACAAACCAAACCAAAACAACAACAACAGCCCTCAATACTTTTTTATTGTAAGGCAGTTTTTATTCTCTTGGGAGAGCATGTTCCATGGCCAAGAGACTGACCTCTTACCTCTGAACTTCAGACATACCTTTGACAATAGAAAGCCTGTGAGAACAATGACTAGGCAATTCCTGAGAGAGTGTTTAGTAAGCACCTACCATACCCTTGCTGATGATAGTGTCACTTGTGGAGAGGATAGTTAGAGAATATTAAAATATTTAAAGCTTCTGATCTTTGGTCAGAACTGTAGAACTTTGGCTTCTTTCATTAAAAGTTTCTTATCATATATTAACTATGCATAATAGTGTGTTTGTTACAACACTTTCAGTATATAGTGTGTTTTGATGATACTCATCTCTCATTACACTCTGCTGTTCCCCTCCCACTCTTGTTGATCTCCTTCCTCTTCTCAACAACCTCCACCCCCATGTGCTTTCCTGTCTTTGTTTGTTTTGATTCTTTAGTCTGTGGGAACTCAATGAATTTAATGAGGGTTACTTATAAGGATACTTGGGAAGGGGTAACTTACAGGAACTACTTGCCTGTAGCTAACCACTGAAGTAAATATTTCTCCCTCCTACAGCCACCATTCAGTACCTCAGTTTTCTTGGTTTGCTCAAAAGATGGGTGTGTCATGAAAAGAAGTAGATGGGTAGGTTGTTCTGCTTTGGTTTTTGTTTAGAGGAGGTAGGAGATTCTAGGTGACAATACAGTTCTGGACATGGTGAGCCCTAAGCACATCACAGCACACATGCAATCACAGTGGCTAATAGTCACCATCCCAGACCCTTTTCTAAGTTGTTCTTCTAAACTCTGCACTTCTTTCTCTGATTCCTGCAGACAGTCCTCAAGCTGGTGAAATTTTTTTTTCTCATTTCCATTTTAGGTACACCCGAGAGCCTAGCAGAGAAAGAACGGCAACTCTCCACCATGATTACCCAGCTGATCAGCTTGCGGGAGCAGCTCCTGGCAGCACATGATGAACAGAAAAAGCTGGCAGCCTCACAGATCGAGAAACAGCGGCAGCAAATGGACCTTGCTCGCCAACAACAAGAACAGGTGAGCATTGCAAAAGGAGCCAGAGAACTGGAGATGTGGAGGGCAGGTGCCAAGCTCTGTAAGCAATCACACTGATTGGTCTATTTGTTGTAGGCTTTCTTCAGAAAATAAGATCATGAAAATTCGAAAAAGAAGAAAGAAAGAAAGAAAGAAAGAAAGAAAGAAAGAAAGAAAGAAAGAAAGAAAGAAAGAGACAGAAAGAAAGAGAAGGGAGGAAGGAGGGAGACTTCTAGTAATTCAGTCTTTAAGAGGGCGAAGAAATGCATCCTCGCCAGCAGGGCTGGACCTGATGGCAGCATGACTTTTGGAAGGTGTGAATTATTTGGGTATAGTCCTCTACAGAGGCACCCAGCTCATCCTAATGGTAACTGTGGTTTCTCTCCAGGCCTTACTTTACTCTCTAGAAAAGAAGGGATTCTTCTAGAAAAACTTAGGGACTTTTCAGCTTAGTGATTTTTCTTTCCTCTAGCTTTTAAAGTACTCACCCCTCTTCCCCCAATAGCCTTGCCTGGCTTATGCTTGCTTTCCAAGGTAATTATTAATATACCATTCCTCATCTACATGAAAGTTGTGTTGGTTTGGGTGGTTTTATTCTCTCTCTTTATAGTGCACTGAAAGCAAATTAGCACATGGCTCTTCAAAGAGCTGGTCTTGACTGAATCAGAAATGAGAATAAAAAAATCAGTTTAAATGTATGCTTTTTCAAAAATGAACCACTTTTTACAAATGATTTTCTTGTCTCCTAGAGTGCATTAATATAACAATGAATCTATAGCATAGTTTCTCGTGCCGTAGATCAAACAGACCCAAATTAATGTGCAGTTTTTAGAAATTTGACATTATTACTGGAATTATCTTTTCAGTTAAATGTATTTTACAGGGATATATAGAGCAGTATATGCTCTGTTGATTTTAATGAGTTGTGACGTCTGGTATTTTATATGCTTGAGTATTTGCCCACATGTAGGAATATGGACTCAGCCCCTAATGGAAAATAACATAAAGGAACACTGTAAAAAATCAGAAGTTAGAATGTCATTTAGCCATCCAGAGATGACACAGTAATTAACTATTGACACTTGTGAATAAGCTAGCACAAATTAATCTTGACACATTTGCAGACGAGTGATATCTTACAGTGAACACTTTGTAATTATATTTCAAAATGAAAATTAAATGACACTTAAAACTAGGTTGTCATGCTCAATGAAGCGAGCATGTAGCTCAACCGATTGGCAAATAAAATTCAGAGTCTGAGCCACATGGTGCTTCTGCACCATACTTCACTGTGTCAAGCCCATGTGTGTAGAGTGGATGATGGTAATTGCGCTGTGGTGTTTCGATGCATTTCTAGGCAGCACTTTATCATTTACGAGGAACCATCAATATTAGATGCCTAGTGGTGTTTCACCAGTTTGCTAAGAGAAGATAAATATTCAGAGGTCCCAGCATCCATACTTAGAGCTGCAAAGTGAGTGCTCTGTTTCTGATTTGAGTGGCAACAAGCCAGAGCAGGACATCCTAACCTGATTAAATCCTGATTCTGTGTGGACTCTAGACTCTGAGAAAGAATAATCCCAGTTCTCAAACTGGAGCATCATACTTTGAGTATGAACCAGTTGTCACCAGAAAACATGGAGCAGCATCAAGAAATCTCTCATTGTGTTGTCATTGTATGCTGGATGGCATGATTGGGCATTTCCCATGTTCTAGGTGAGGGAGGGTAACAGGAAGACTTAAAATGAATAGAGGTAGAGATTAGAGTCATCTGAACTCTAATCACTCTCAACACAGATCATTCTAGAATCCTGACTTATGGAAATAAATAGAAGGAGGAACTCTTGACCACGAAGCACAATGAAACCAGGTCCTTCTGGGAGCTCTTCACCTCCCCATGCCCTCCTGTTTTGCAATGCACACTCTGAAAGAAACCTCTTTATAACCTAAGGCTGTGAGGTGGGCAGTGAGCAGGCAAGGAGAGTAGCTGAATGCTGACTCCTATTTAATTAGGCAACAAACTCACCATCTTAAAGTTTTTGTCCTCCTAAGGCCAGACTTGGTCTTCAGTAGGGTTTATATTTTACGATTAGTGTTTCTTTTAATAGACTAGATAACCTCCTGAAAGTTGAGTTTGATTGCTGTGCAAAGAAAGGGAATATAACACTTGTATGCACCTCCTGTACTAAAAACAAGTTCATCACCCTAAAGGGTAAATTTAAATTACATCATAGTCTGCCTTAAAAATGCTTTGTAGAGCACAGAGCATCATCCAAAAAGCTAAAAGTTTTTTTTTTTTTTCACTGTTTAGCACGTTTTTATGTCCTTTTGATAATGTTTATAAGCCTGCCATGGCTAAATGACAGAAATAGACCTGTGGCACATTAGGAAGCCTTTCGCTTTCAGATTTTACTTATTATTATTATTATTTATAGCCAGACTATCCTCTTTAGACAAATATGGCCAGGGTTTTCCTGTTTTTTTTTTTTTTTTTTCTGTGAGGATCTAGATTCCAAAGTCTGTGGTTTCCAGCCAGTCACTGCAGAATGGGGAGCTCACTCCCAGCTAGAGCACAGGGCTGTCATTTGCACCTCTGGATAAAGCAGAGACAACCCACTGGCTCAGATTCTTCTCAGGTCCTCTCTGGTCCCACTGCCTCCTTCCAAAGGGAGAGTGTTTCGCACTGAAGTGCAGTAAAGCACTCAGGCAGTAGCAGGAGGGACACAGAGGTAATAGCAAAGGTGCGAGCGTTTCATTTTAACCTAATGGAACTTTATTTCTGATAGATCGCAAGACAACAGCAGCAACTTCTACAGCAGCAGCACAAGATTAATCTCCTGCAGCAACAGATCCAGGTCAGTGTGTTTTATTACCCTCATCTGAGTATCTGTAGATGCGCTCTTCCTTCAAAATTGAATTTAAGGTGTTGTAAATGCTTGTCTTATCAACAGTGCCAACATGGCTGTTATTCAAGGACGATGATGTACACAGTTGTTGTCCAAGGAGACAGCCAGGTGGTGGTCGTGGTGGTCACGGCAACCTTCTATGGTGTGATGTGTGAGCAGAGTACACCGACCCGCCTTCCTCAGCCCTGCCTTCTTCCATTTGTCCTAATGCACCAAGCTCCAACCTCTTTGTTTCCAAGGCAGCATACAGATGTTTTTTTTTTTATTGCTAAAAGCCACTTTCTGCTTTATGTTTTATTATGTAATAGCGCCAGAGAAAGAAGATTACTTTTATTTACTTGTGAGGACCAGTTGGGTCAATTCTGAGAAGAATCTGGGAAAAGCCTGTTAATAATTAATTTATTTCTCTGCAAGTACTAAGCTCACTGTGTTGGATACAAAGGAGAGCAGAACTCTGGCCTGTCTTCAAGGAGCTTATGATCTAGACAACAAGAAAAATGGTTGTGAATAATTATAACCTACTTTACAGAAGTCATTGTTTTTATTTATTTATTTTTCTAGCAGCAGTATAAAAATGTGCAGTTCATTACAGGGTCTGTGAAGGGAAGGTGACAGCTGGATTTATGTTGTTCCTTTAGACACTTGATAATTAACTCAACTAACAGCTGTTTCAAATAGGTAGGGAGAATGGCTTCTATTTCTGAATAAAACCACAAGTTTATGAATTCTAGAACGTGCTGGAAGAAAGCACTGGTTGTAGATTAACCTTCAGAACACTGGTTCCAGAGGTATGCTTAGCCAATCACAGATTTCTTTTTCTTGCTCATTGTGGATATTTTCTAACCTGTTGAAATCTGGACCACCATAGCCAAGCCAGTATCTTCGGAGGTTTATCAGTGCTTTTGCTGAGATTCTTGCACCTCCCAAAACACCAATTGCATAAAATCATAGCTTCCTCTAATGCTCTACCGTATTGAACAATACCAGTGATTTTAACTTAGATCTTTGCTTCATCTTGTTAATCATTCTTACTGTGCTGGCCGCTGAGACTACATTGATAATTCCAACAGTGTCTGAAGAGGTACCTCTCCTCAATTTAGCTTTTTGTTTCAGCAACTTCTCTGGGAGGATTTAGCTGGAATATGTTGTCTAGTTTTTTTTTTTTTTTTTCTGTTTCTGTGTTCTGTATTCAATCCTACATTTCAAAATCAAGATGAATGTCTTTTGCATTTTTGATGGTCAGATTTCACAATTAAATCTGGGAATAATTTCTTATACTGATATCTCTTTCATGTCTCATGCTGAGGTTCTTAATTATATAGCTGCCCAGGTGTCCCGTTGTCTGCCCTTATTAAAATTTACAGTATGTTTCCTACTCCTGGGGTTAAGATTTTTAGTCTGTGGTTTCTTGCATGTTTCTTTAGTTACTTCTCCAAGAACTCGAGGGTGTCGAATAACATGATCAGTTAGTTTCCTCTTTGGACAATCCTATGAGAGTATGTATTTCTAATATATTCTGTTCTTCATCCAGTGTTATTTTTATCAACGGACTGTCTTGATTGACATCTTCCTGTGCTACTGAAAACCTCAGATGCACAGCAGTTCATAGTGTTTTTATGAAATGTTGTAGCTATTGATTACATATGATTTTATCATTATAGCATGAAATTGATGTGTTTTAATTAACTGTGGAGCACAATCTTAAAATATTAATCTGAATATTCAGTTTAAGAAGATAGGGATGGGCCTGGGGAGATAGCTAGCTTAGTTGGTAAAATGCTTGCCACACAGCATGAAGATTTGAGCTCCATTCCCAGAAACCTACTTATAATCCCAGAACCCGAGAAGCAGAGACAGATGCATGCCTGGGGCTTTCCAGCTAACCAGATGAGCCTCAGTGGTAAGCTCCAGGCCAATGAAAGACCCCATCTTAATAAAATAAGATGGACAGCACATGAGGAATAGCATGTAAGATTGACTTCTGCCCTCCATAGGCATGTATATACATTTTATGCAGCTTCCCCCACATGTGCCCACTTGCCCATGCAGAGAGAGAGAGAGAGGGAGAGAGGAGAGACAGAGACAAACAGAGACACACAGAGAGAAAGATAAACTTTTTAAAAATTTTCTAATAGAATTTTAATTGCCTAATTATTGGTCACATTAAAAAAATTTTTTAAAGAATCTAGCTAATCATCACTTAAACTAAGAAATTCAAGTTATGAAACAGCAGAGGTACACATGTCAGTTTTAGGCTCATTTTAGGGATTTAAGTTTCTTCCTGACAAGATTTCATGCTTTTTAAAATAAGAGAACAGTTAGGCCCGTGTTTACTGTTCCTTCTGTCCTGGGATCCTGCTACAAGACCTATCTTGTCAGCACTTATCTTATCAGTGGGAGACCATTCTAAGAATTTTTCAAATGCTGAAAACACTCCTTACATGAAACTTACTTATCTCTGACACTTACAAAGCAAGTTTTGATGTTCAGCCTTCCAATCAGTTCTTTGGAAGAGTACAGGAGTTAACTGTATTTTTATAGATAGTTTCTCCCCACCCATAAACATAGTCTACTTTAAAATAAAGACTATAGTTGGGTTAATTTCAATGTACTTTTAGAGAAAAAAATGTGAGATTAAAGGCAGGTTCAACAATTTTTTTAATCAGACAAAAGAAAACATTTCTTCCATCTGAAACAGAACAGAAAAACAGAATAATTGAAAAGTAAATCTAGTTCTTAACTTTTTATTTTCTGAGACAATGTCTCAATGTATAATCCATGCTGGCCTTAAACTCAGAAAGATCTACCTGTTCTGCCTCCCTACTGCTCTTCTTAAAGCTCCCAGTGACTACAAAGGCAATTTGAAAAAGTTTAACACGTTTAACGTTCTCACATCTTAAGTCCTAGAACCTGATAGCACACATGTTCAGCAAGAATTGCCTTGGCTGTCAGCTATATTTAAGACATTACTCTAGGTCAGTGTGCAGTGTCTAGACTCATTTTTAAATTTTTTTCACAGTTTTTTTTTTCATTATATATCTCAATTGAAGCCCCCTCCTTTACTACTCCCAGTCCCACCCTCCTGCTCTTTTCCCCCCCATTCCCTTCTCTCGTCCACTGAAAGGGGGAGTTCTCCTTTGTCATCTGCCCATAGTTTATCAAGTCTCATCAGGACTCTAAACTCTCTTAACAACTGTATATAAACACACCTGGATCTATTATAAGAGCAACAAATGAAAACTTCAGTGATTTGCCCCAAATGAAAACTATAATCTTTCATTAGAATTAGGAAAAGACATGATTGCAATAGTATTTCTAAAGGTTCCATGAAAATTTTATTTGCAGTCATACAGAACCTACATGTGCAGTTCAGATAAGTTTTCCTTTATATTTTTTCTTCCTTGAGCATATTTTTAAACATAATTTTGCCTTGGTGGATCCTAACTACACTTTTTAAGAGATTCTCCTAAGGCTGTGTAAGTAAAGTTGGAAAAACATGATAAATGATTCTGTGAAATTTTTTTATGGTTTTGATGAGCTAATGCTTACCATTTAAAAAGCTAGGCTAATAATTTAAATGATTATTAACATAGTTTAATATTAATAGATGCTGTTTGCCTGTTGAACTCAAATCCCTGTTTGTGTTTTGGGAGAAAATGGTGATTCCTCCAAGTTGTTACATATTAAGTGGATCTCTTCTTTGGAACCCAGGAAAAGTCAGAGATGATTTATATTCCCAGGATAGCAAGACCATGGAATGTAAAAATAAGCAGTCATGGAATGTGGGGCTTCCTAGTCAGCAAAGTTGCTTCTTAATACTGTAATTCCAAGGAAAGATAATGGCCTCAGTCATTTCAAATTACTTTCCCTACCAGCTACACTGTAGCATCTAAGCCAGTGTTCTGAAGCATTTCATTCATGAGTTAAGTGAACTGACATACAAAATCCACTTTTTGAAATGTATTTGATAGTTATAGTATTTTAATAAACTAGTCAAGGTAAGGCTATAGTAGATGAAAATATTTTATAAATCTAGATACCTTGTTCTTTTATATAATTCTTCATCTATTCTCATTTGAACATATTGTAGGTTTCAATCACAGAAGCCATTCTTCATGGATACAATATCCCATACTGGCACCTATAACTTGTCATTGGGAATACAGTTAATGATGGCACCTTATGGCTGCAACTTAGTCTTTGTAAAAGAATTCAGCTCATTAGAATACCTTTGTGAAAAAACTTACTTTTCCAGAGATGAATAGAGTTATCTAACTAGTAGAATCTTTTCAGAGCAAGGAATAGAGTCACCCAAAGAGCCTGTCTTCAAGACTGGCTGTAGAACAGACTCCTGTGGATGAACTGGCTGCTGGAGATTTCCTCTGGCTTTCTGGACAAAGGCTGAAGTTGTCAGTTCATGCATACTCATCTTCTTGCGTAAAACTAAGATACTTAGAATCATTATCAATTTTATGATTAATACCCAATATTCTTCGCCCCTCTCTATCACTTTAGATACATGTTGGGTTTGGAACACAATCTGTAGAAAGCCAAAAACAAATGCCATGCTATTTCTTTCCAGAGCCCCCTGTCATGCTGAAAGCCCCCACTTTTAACTGCTATAGAACATGCTGTTTATTAACTTTCTCCCAAATTTGTTCCTCAGTTTTGTTTTGTGAAAGATTTGCTCTTAAGAGCATATGAATATTTTATATGTAGTGTTTTCTAATTTGATTATGATATATTCTTATATGCTATTGGCATATTTTATGTTTGTCCACATTACTTGTGTGGTAGAGCACCAATAAATTTATTTTCTCCTTTCCCCTGTATGATACAGAGATACACAAATATTCCAAGGAAGAAAATGATCATCTTGAGCAATCAAACAGGATGGCTTGAGACATCCTCTGTCTTTCAGCTAAGCTTTGCCTGTAGCTTCCTTCAGT